ATTTCAAACCTCCACTGCCTTGTGGCTATATCCATTCATGGAAAAGGCTTCAGGAGTTAACCTAGAGGCAAAATCCAGAGGTGGAGTCCCGGAGGCAGTTCATGTCGTTCTGCCAACTCCTGTGACATTGCTGGAACCAGTTGTATTGGCTCTTGCCTTTCCATTGGACCATTTCAGCAACGTAGAGAGGGGGGATCTGCTGCTTGGGTAACAGCCTATCCTCCATATTACTTTACCCAGGCTTCATGCTCTGGAGGGGACACTCCTCACTTCAGAGCATGTCACCATAGTCTTTCGAGACTGAAGGATGCCTATGATTATGACCCGTGAAATGCTGTATTATCTGCTGGCACTTGTACACCCATAAATATCACCTGTCAGTGACCAGCCGTTCTGGGGAAAGTAAACCAAGAAATAAAAAGAAGTGGGAGGGATTGTTTTGTATCTAAAGCAAGGGGGGGAGAAGGAGAAATTTACAAAAGTAGATCTCAGTGTCAGTGAAAGACTGTGGGGCTCAATACTACAGTAAATGTCAGAGTGAGAAAGCAGCAGGAAAATAGTACACTTCAGTTGGCCTGAAATCCACCACAAATGTGCGAGTGCATTTAGGAAAAAACAGCATGGCCAGTTAACAGCAAAGTGAAGCATCATGATTATAAACCAAAACTAGAAGTGAAGTGACAATAATGCACCTGTGCTTAAGATGATCAGCATTGTGTTTCAGAAAGGCCTGTCAGGACCAGGCTATATTTTAAACTGATGACACTGGGCATTTACAAGAAGAAGGTGGGGTGGGGGTTGGATGAGCAAATAAGACTGATAAGGGGAAACAGCTTAGTACAGTGGTGCCCTGCATAGCGACATTAATCCGTTCCAGGATTAACGTCGCTATCCGGATTCGTCGTTATGCGGGGGGGAACCCATAGGAACGCATTAAACTCTGTTTAATGCATTCCTATTGTGAAAAAACTCACCGCTATGCAGGGAATCCTCCATCCGGCCGCCATTTTCACCGCCTGGTAAGCGAGGGCAGGACGCGAAAATGCTGCGGGCAGCCATTTTCTGCACCCGGTGGCCATTTTGGAACCGCCAATCAGCTGTTCCCAAAACATCGCAATGTGAAGATCGGTAAGTGAAACACCTACCGATCATCGCAATGCGATGTTTTGCCTATTAAAACATCACAATGCAATCGCATTAGCGATCACAAAAAATGCATCACTATGCGGATTCGTCATTAAACTGTGTGCTCATTTAGCGAGGCACCACTGTATATGTCTCTATAAATATCTATACACATTTATTTGTTAAGACTTACTTGGCTTGGAAGACACATGTTACTACCATCAGAACGATCATTAGATAAAAGATAGGATATGTTAGCTGCATGCTTCCCCTCACTGAAAGCACAATCATGGCTACCACGGCTTTCACTGAAATAATGGTCACAGATGCTGCAGGGGGAGGGAGGGAGAGAAAGAAAGAGTTAAACACATGAACAGCTAATTCACGCATGCATTCATAATAATTAAATATTCCATTGCTCAATTTCTTTGTTATGAAACTGAGAACAAAAATCAGTCAAAAATTGTTGTGTCTCGAGTGAGTCTCCAAAACTGCTCTCTGTCCTGGAAGCCCTCCTGATGCTGGCCTCTTTCTGATGCATGTTAAAGACACGACCGCTCATCCAAGCTTTAGGGGCCCAGTTACATGGTTCTGGCACGCTGGATTGTGGGTTTTCTCTTCTCTTCCATTTTGTTTTATCTATTTTCTTTGTTTCCTTTTTTTGTCTTATTTATGCTGAATTTATTTAAATTGTTTTTAGCATCGAAGTTGCTTTTGAACACATCCTACCCTAAGTTCTCCAGATATAGGGTAAGACAGAAACATTTTTGTGAATAGTCAACTGAGTAAATATCTCTATGGTGTTTGGATTTCAAATGACTGAAGCTAATGCAGAAATCCTCACCAGGGGAGAATGTTTCCAGGATAGCGTGAAGAGCATGCACGTGCAAGGTGAACACTGATAGTAGGGTGTTCCTTTGGCCTTATTGGTGTGGATTAGATCCAGGTTAAGGGCTACATCCAAAAATATTTCAGCAGACAAAGAAAATTGCTGCTGTTCTGCTTTACTATCACAACCAGAGTAGGCTGGTGAAACGATGCTGAATGGCTCAACAGCTTGTTCAACGTCTAGGATGGACTATGGATCAGCACACAAGACCAAACTACTAGAAGTAATATTTATGGCAGGATGAAAAAAGAGAGGAATTTACATAATTGGTGAAAGGTTTTCCCTAGCAGAATTACCTTACTTGATACTACCCTAATCTTAAAAAACACTTAAACTGAGCAGAGTGGAACTTACTTCCAAGTAGATATGCATATGATTGCTTTGTTAGACACTGAAATAGACAGCACCAGGATCAGGACTAACTTGGCCCAAGGACTTCAACAGGATTCAAGCTCAAACCTATGCAGAGTTACTTGGGAGTAAGCAAAGTTAACCATAATTCCACACGGTCCATGTGGGAGCGTCCAATGGTTCCTAACTTATTTGTAGTAACCATTTAATGTAGCCTCCAGCAATAACAATACTCACATCCATACATGACATAGACAGACTCAAATATTAACAGGCAAATGGAAAGGAGAACATGCCAGCCAATGCCACCCCACAGTTTGGTGTGGTTGCCCTTTTCTTGCAGGGGCAGCATCAATATTAAACACTGGCCTGCAACTCTTAGATCAAACGTAGGGGCTGAGGTGAAATAATGGGAGAAAAAACTCAGTGTGTTCCATGCTGGCACAAGACTTTGTGGAAACAGAGTCAAATGGTGTAAAATAAAAATTTCCTAATAAAACTCGCCATTTCCGTCCTTCCTGCTGACAGCTATATTGCTGGAAGGTGAAGACATTAAAGCTGACAGTATTATCAGAGGCTGGCGGGACTATTTCCATCCAGCTTCTATATAAGTTTAACAATCAGGCATAGGACACCCCTAAGAGCCTCTTTAAATATTAAATACTAAAATTGCTCTTCTGGTGAAATGCAGCACCAAAAAAGAGGGGGATGAATTGATTTTGCTGACTCCGATAACAGACGCTCACTTTGCGGCTGAAAAGGGACATCACTTGCAACAGCAGGAAGTGGAGAAACCTTACTCAGGTTCCTCCCTACCCCCATTTCGCCTCGCCAATCCACCATGCTGTAAATTCCAGATTAGGCATGAAGCAAGGTGCTTCTCGATGAGTCAGTTTCCAGAGCTGCATTTAAACGGTAACACTTCTCTGCTCCCATTCCAGGGTAAATAAAACCTTTCCCCAGCCCATGAAACGCAGACCTCTCTGCTTATTAAGACTGGTGTGGCAGACATGTGAAAGGATCCTCCCATAACTTTCTCCACACACACCCCCTGGACTTATGGCAATTTGTACATAGGGGTCACAGAGACTGAAAAATCCTCCCAGAACTCTTGAGTTTTCACAAAAAAAAAAATGTGGGGAAAGGCACAATGAGTGTTGCTGGTTTATCCTTTATGTTCACATTGTCAGTGGGGGGATAGGACAGCACAGAGTAGCTTGAGACATTTTGCTGCCTGGGGAGTAAAGTGAAATATGGCCTCCCATTCTGTATTCAGAAATAGATCAGACTTACTGCTGAACCTTCCTAGCGAAGTTGAATCTACGCTGTCGAAGCACACCACGCCATCCTTTTCTGGCATGGGCTCTTGTGGCAGAACAGGGTGGCTGTCTCAAATTTTTGATGTCACAGAAAGACAGCAAATGGTTAGCTAATGAACTGGTGGAAGCAGTGGTTATATTTTTTTGGCTGGGGTGAGCAGTGTTGCTTCTGGGATTTCTCTATCTCATGTGCCTAAAGAATTTGTTTGGCTTGGGCACTGACAGCGTAATTTTACCTCAGTGGGCAAAGCATGACACAACTTGCTGCTCCCCCTCAGCTCTTGTGGGTTGGGAAGGGCTAACTTTTCCAAGTTCTTTGGTCAAGAAGACATCTGAAAGCAGCACGAGATTACCTGCGCAAATGCTCTGCCAGCAGCTGCTCCAACACCAGTTTGAACTTAATGTGGCAATCAAATTCGTACCAATTACAACTAGTATTTGCTGCAGCAAGGTCAAAATCTGGAGGACAGACCTGTACCTTTCACCAGCAGTTAACATATACAGTGGTGCCTCGCTTAACGATGTTAATTGGTTCCAAAAAAACCATCACTATGGGAAAACATCGTTAAGCAAAACACCATTTCAATGTTATCAAAAGCAAAGAACACCAACAAAACGCCGGGAATTGATACCAGCATCTAGTGCACATTATGGGAGAAGTGGGGAAAGTGTGGTCCACCAAACCACTCCAATACTATCATACTCTCCAAAATCAGTTTCAAAATAGTTGTGCTCCTAAAAGCCTCTGGGTGGCATGATTAGACACTGAAAGGACACTTTGGAATTTCAAAGGCCTGAAATATCCCCCTTTTAAAAATCTAAACAATTCTAGTTTTAAAAATGGGAGGGTGCAACTGCAAGGGTATCAGGAATGGCCCTGAGATCCTCCAAAATTACCCACTCCTGATTGCTGGTGTTCGGCAGTAGCTGAACATACCCTGAAACAAGCTGGACATGAAATCCTATTTCAAAATACAACACCAGCAATCATTATGTTAGACTACACAGGGAAGCCACTGAAATCCACAAACATCAGCACAGCTTCAACAAAAAAGAAGAAAGTCTAAAACTCAACAAAGCCTGGCTCCCAGCATTGAAAAATACAGCCTGCAAAAAAGGTCAACAAACACTACCCCACCACAAGGACCGGAGATCACTGCACACAAAAATACTAGCTAAAAACACCCATCAATCACAGTGACAGATCATCTCCCCCTTATCACAACAATACACCCATAAGAAAAAACACACTGATCACCATAATCACACAATCTCCTGAAAAGGACAAAAAGCTGATCTCACAGCTACAAATACTCAACTATCCCACACACTATACCAGAACTCAGACAGAGTTCTAACTCCTGTCCTCTGAAGATGTCGGCCAAAGAGCCTGGGAAAACATTAGGAACAAAAATCTCCAGAACATGGTCAAACAGCTCAAAAAACCTACAACCACCACTGGATCCTAGCCATGAAAGCCTTCGAGAACAGAGCAAAGAAAACACATTTTAATTTTTTATAATTAATGCAGCACATCAGCAATAGCTTATATACAGTTAAAAAAATAATTTCACTTCCCCCAACCTCTGCTAAGCAGGATGATATATTCAAATATATCCGCTCAGAGTGGTATAAATATACCAGATGGGCAGGATATAAATCAAATAAATAAATAAATAAATAAATTTGCAATTTAAAAAACAACAGAATAAGCCAGAGCAACTGGCAAGGACAACACCTCCATGTGGACAAGCCCTAATCCATGTCTCCTGAGACAAAGCAGTCAAAAATTAAATGCAGCAAGATCACAGGTCTGCCTTTGCCCAAGCGGTACTGCATGTGCAAAGGGTGGACCAACTTGTTTGGAAGCTCCTGATGCTAAACCACTCTTGCAGTTAACCGCTATGGATATACAGAGAATTTAATAAATAAGACATTTTTAAAAGTTGCTTCAACATGCCAGCTTCCTACACTAACACACAGTCACAACCTGGGGGGCCGTACTAATGATGAATAACATATACATTCCAAAATAAATAACACAGATGTCTCAAAGCCATCCCCACTGTTTAGAAACCCACCATCATTCCACAAGATCAGAGTTAACTTTGTGGGTGAACCCTTTGGATGGGTGGATCCAAGTCTGCTCTATGGATCCACAGCTTCTTGTCAGATTGGACTTGAGGGTATACAGTATCCCAGTAGAACTTCCTCAGCAGGCAAAAATGCTGCGGGGAAGACCAGCATATGGCTATAATTACTTTCTTTCAGCTTTCAATTCTGGAATCAACTACCACAAGAGATCCCAAAGAGCTAGCTATTTGGGGATGGCCCTACCATTAGACAAAATGAAGTGGTTGCCTCAGGGATCAGATTCTGAGAACTATGAACAGGCAACAGATTTTTAGCTACCTAAGTTGGTCTGGTTTTATAGCCAGATATGGGGAGAGTTAGTTGTGAGAGCTTCTGTCTCCTGTGCCCAAATGACTTGGTTGGCTTTGAGTACAGTGGTGCCTCACTTTACGATTGCCCTGCATTACGACGAATCCGCTTTACGACGATCTTTTTGCGATTGCAAAATGATGGTCTAAATGGGGGAATTTCGCTTTGCGATGATCGATTCCCTGCTTCAGGAACCGATTCTTCCCAAAACGATGTTTTTCTAACAACTGATCGGCGGTTTCAAAATGGCTGCCAGGTAATTAAAATGGCTCCCCGCTGTGTTTAGGGATGGATTCCTCACTATGGAGGGTCTTCGCTGGACAGTGAGTTTTTACCCGACTGGAATGCATTGAACGGGTTTCAATGTGTTTCAATTGGGTTTTTTATTTTGCTTTACGATGTTTTCGCTTAACAGCGATTTTCCTGGAATGGATTATCGTCGTTAAGTGAGGCACCACTGTATATGCATGTTTCTTGACATGGATAATTTGTGGGGATGCCATTTACTGTTCTGCCTCAGGCAGCAACATGTCTTGGCCCACCCTTTCAGAGACCAGGGTGCATGTCAACACAAAAGACTAGAGATGAACCATATTCTTACCTAGCAGTGCGACCATTGCTAACAAGAGCACAAGATGCTTGATGTCCTTTATCTTATAGAAATACAGAAGAATGCAGAAGGTTGTTATTGCCACAATCTGAAAAGGAAGGGAAAAGGGGGGAAAGTTTAAATTAACCTTCAGACAAATCTTTAGCAAAATGTCACATACTTATTTCCCTTTTTAAAAGGATAAGTAAAAAAGAATAATCTCTTCGCTATTCATCAAATAATTATTCCCATGTACCTTTCCTAAAATTAGGAAATGTTCTCATTTGGTTGTTGAGCTCTCTTATCCTTTCAAGTGCCTATTCTGTTTTTATCACCTTGAAAAAAATTTAAAGCAAAGGACAAGGAGAAAAAGATAGTGTGCTTTGCAGTAATAATCTGGCAGCCAAAAGCACACAAATTTAAGCACAACATGGAGCAGCTCTGGACTTACCATCTTGGTTAGGAATGGTAAATAAATACAGCCTGCCATCATCCAGCTGCAGTGAGATGCCTCCAGTGCAAGTGACTTCAAAATTGCAGTCATAAAATATGGCTCATCTTATTTATCATCTGCATTAACTTCACTTGTTCCTCCTGCTCCCCTCCTCTAAACAATACGACTTGGACTAAACTTGCACTTCTGTCCAAAACACCTGTAATGGATTTGTAACTCTACGCTGGTTTTCAATCACTGCCTAGCTAACTACCTGTCAAAAGTTTGCAGAAAAGAAAAATATCTCAGTAGAGTTTAATGGAACGCTAGGAGAGGCTGCTTTGTGAGACGTTTTGCAGATTCGTTCAAAGTGACTTCCCTCTGGGCTGCAGGTTGCTGCTTAATATAGAGATTTTAAAAGGCAGGGTTGATCTTTCCATTGAGAAGGCTGAGGCAGCATCACCCAGCGGTCCTCCCTGAGCTCCATGGCCACTGCCCTCTGTTGGCAGACAGAACTATGTGCACCATGTAGTTTGCCCCTTGGCTCCCCCCAAATTAACCTACTGTCATTAAAGAACTGACAAAATCATCCTTTCATCAGTACCCAAAAAATATTTAATTAATTTCACCCACAGAGGATTGTTTTAATTTGGGAGAGGCGAGGTGGATGAAGCTACCTTGTATCTGGAGATGCCTGTATATAAAACCCATGCCCTACCAATGAACTATGTAAGTTCATTGATTGGGCATGGGTAGGGCTACTTTCCTTTTGTGTGCAAAGCAAGAAAGGTGGCACTGTTTAGGTGATAACTCATTCCTAGTCTGAGAACCTGCCAAATGTCCAGCTCTACCATTCTCTAGAAAGGAGCAACTGATCTTTGATTCATTTGGTATTTTTGCTTACAAGTACAGTGGTGCCTCGCTTTACGATTGCCCCGCATTATGACAAAACCACTTAACAATGATCTTTTTGCGATCGCAAACGGTGATCTTTTTGCGATGGTCTGAATGGGGGAATTTCGCTTTGCGATGATTGGTTCCCTGCTTCGGGAACCAATTCTTCGCAAAACAACATTCTTGAACAGCTGATCTGTGGTTTCAAAATGGCCACCAGGTGATTAAAATGGCTCCCCGCTGTGTTTAGGGACGGATTCCTCGCTATACAGGCAGTGAAAATGACCACCATATGGAGGATCTTCACTGGACGGTGGGTTTTTACCCCATTGGAATGCACTGAACGGGTTTCAATGCATTTCAATGGGGTTTTTATTTTTGCTTTAAGATGTTTTCACTTAACGGTGATTTTCCTGGAATGGATTATGGTCGTTAAGCAAGGCACCACTGTACTACATTAGCCATTAGCCATAGATACATACTTCAGCCAGTCCGGTTGTGTACCTAAGCCTGGATCCAACATCAAATCAGAAAAATAAAATCTGCTTCAAAGCACACTGGCTTTTATTGTTGATCATAGTAAGTTGCACTAGAGTAGGCCCATTGAATCAGTGGGGATTTGTTGAGTCAATTCCTCCTTTGGGCCCACTGATTCAAATGGACCTACTCTAGTTAAAACTTACTTTAGTGTTGTAATTTGCAACTAGAGTAGGCCCTAGACTTATAAAGGAATTGAATGACTTCTAGTACAATTTACTATACTAAGTAACAGGATTTAAATCATTTCCTCTGGTTTTTCATAAAAGAGACACTGCTTTCTCTCTCCTTTTACCTTGAGGGTTCCTTAAATTCCTCATTCTCAAGGCTTGGTCATTCTAGACACTCAAGATTCTGCCACTGATGAAATACCCACTTGCACTGGATCAAACCTGCAGGTTGCAACATTATTTGCAATATGAAGAAAGCTGGCACAAGCATATTCATTTGTAGGATTCATCATGAATTTAGTGCCACATTAAAGCAAAAATCCATTTATCAGATGAAGAATGGATTAGTAAGCAATCCAGCACATCCTCCTCTGAACATCAGCAGAATAATTCTTCAACAGAACATCACACATTTTGTGTCAGAGGTAATAGAAACATACATAATTCTTGCAAAATAATTCATGTTTCACATGCAATGGGCAATTTCTCCCACATCAATGTAAGAGACACTGGAGGGATTTTTTTATTTAGTTTTTCTTTGAAATAAAGGCTGATTTCATGAATACATTTAAATGTTTTGAATTTGAAAGACAGACTTTCACTGTTACCTCCGCATCAAATTAATTGTCTTGTACTCACCATGATTTAAACATTAAAAAATGTGACTCAAAATAGTAATGCCTTAGGTGTAGCTCAATATTTCAGCCACTGACTATTGCCTAACAAAACACATTAGCTGTTACCAGTTGCTAATTTCTCTAAGTGTAACATTATCGACATGGAATTAAAGTGTTACTTTTATCAGTACTAATACCATCATTATTATTTTCAAAAAAATATACTGAAAATAGGGGGGAAATTGTTAAATATTAACTAAGTGATAATTACATTCTCAGTCTATTTGCGAAGGCTTTCACAGCACTGTCCTCTGAAGATGCCGGCCACAGAGACTGGCGAAACGTTAGGAAGAACAACCTTCAGAACACAGTCAAAGAGCCCAAAAAACCCACAACAACCACATTCTCAGTCATTATGCAATTTTTTTTGGGGGGGGGGAAGCACTGCCATGTCCGTAGAAGTAAATGCTACACCTAATATTCATTGTTAACAAGATCATTTCCCCCAAAAAACTGCATTATTTGTGTTAAAATGTCACGCGTATTCTGGCATGATTTATGCATTTTTGTTTAATTTGTCCAAAAATATTTTTCTTGTTCTGTCTCTAGTCAAGAACGTCACAAAATACTATTCCCTTTTCTCACTTGATGAAGAAAAATTCTGTGGATCCTCCTGTTCACTTGTGGGAATTTACAATCCTACCAAAAAAAGAGAAAAGAACCTAACACCTATTCCTTTCCCTTTCTTCCCCCAAGGAAGACCATTTTCAACAGAACAGAACCCCCCCTTTTTGGGGGGGGCAGTTTGAGAGGCCGGCAGAAGTGGAATATTCCGGCACAAAAATGTGGAATGGCAAGTAAGTGGCTCTTCTTAAGAGTACCGCAGCTATTTTGAAGAGGAACAGATGTCCGCTCTACCAAGCAAGCCCTTCAGCTTTTTATAGACAATACAAAATATGTGCACTTAATCTGAGGAAAGAAAGAATTCCTAGCATGACAGTGTGCAAACAAATCTGGTGTCTAACTGCTAGAGAGACTGAGATTTGTCACATCAAGCAGAGGAGGAGGAGAAGCACAGTGACTTTTCAAGAGTAGAACTTGCAGTGGCCATGTAAGCTATGAGTTTCTGGGAGTTGTGGCCTAAAAGAAATAATTCTTCCAGGATTTCTCTTTTTTTTAAAATCCAATATATATATATATATAGGATTTAAAAAAAAAGAAGATCCTGGAAGAATTATTTCCATATCTATACCGCCCCATTAGTGTTGCCACATTCTGGGCAATTCATAATATATATGGAAGATGTTGGATTTTGTTATTATTTGCCACTGTTCTTATCAAGACAACATGAATATCCAAAGAACAAATGGTCCATTTGGAAGAACCTTATGTAAAGTATCAGAGTTGGTGTCATGTCTTCTGGCTGTGACCTCAGAGATCTTAATGGGCCTTGGAAGTAAGTGTGTGTGTGTGTGTGTGTGTGTGTGTGTGTGTGTGTGTGTGTGTGTGTGTGTGTGTGTGTGTGTGTGTGTGTGATTATCCCTCTACAGACACGTGTGTGTGTGTGTGTGTGTGTGTGTGTGTGTGTGTGTGTGTGTGTGTGTGTGTGTTACTACAACTCTCCAGACACCTCCCCCACCCTCAGCCAGCACAGCGACTATGCTGGTTGGCAAGATTTCCTAGCATTGTAGTTCAAAAAGTAAAATTTCCAGACTCTTGAACAGAAGACAAATAAGGAGGGAAAAGCCCAGAGACAACCAATTGATACTGACCTGTAAAAAAGGATATTGACTGGGAAGGTTCTAGTGTGCCAGATGGGAAGCAAGGGTGGGAAGCCCCAGAAGGCCAAGACTTGGAGAGGCAACATAACTGCTGCACCCTTCTAGATATATGGCAAGCACGGCTGGTTCCTTACACACCAGCCCAGACACCAGCAAAGATTCAGGAGGCCAACTGCTAAAACATTTATAGAGCACCCTATATCACAGAGCCTCTTGATATTGATATTTGCAAGAACTTTCTTGCAAATCAAAAGGCCAATTTTCTCATAGGTCAGAATCTTATTGGGTATGGACACATGCAGAAGCAGTCCTGGAACCCACCATGGTTCACTGACAAGGTGCCAGTTAACATACCACTTGCATACTGAACCCATGCCAATCATGTATCTGGCACAACTCTGGCACCCTATCAATGCTGTCACAATTAGCTGCAGCAACTCTTGCAGAATTGTAAATATCTAATACGACATTTTAAATCATTATACATTATATCCTACAAGGGGATCAAAATTTTAAATAGACCAAACCAAGAACAGTAGCATTTCCAGCACATGAAGTCACATACGCCTTATGGATTTTTAAAATATATATACATGAACTCAAATCACACATTTTGTTGAATCTTTTATCATTTTCTCTTACTTTAATTTCTTTCCATGATGTTAATTTATATATTTTGCTATTTGGTACTAAGTTCCACAAAAAGGGAATGGTGCTACTTGTGTTTTAGAAAGTATTAGAAGAAATTTTAAAACACAGGATCAATGTTTAGTTTATGCCAATGGTGATATGGTGGAATGTAATTCCCTCCAATAAAAAGAAAAGAGGCAACTGAAACATTTCATTATCTAAGACATCAGTTGATATTTATGGACTATGTATTACCAATATTCAGTGGCTGAAATCCTATTGCATAATGGTCAGTCATTTCTAGCTGGCAATTAATGTCCCCCCTCTGGATTCTTGAGCATTTGTTCCAGAGGTAACTCAACTGCCAGCTGGAAACAACTGCATGATATGTTCTTTCACCTCCCGCAGGCAAAATTAAGCAACAGGATTCCAGTCAGTGCATATTAAAAATGGTGTATGTCATGATCATACGTGCACATACGCACAGTGTCAGGCAGCAAAGGCAAAAGAGGGCTCTCAGATGTTGGACTCCAATGTCCACTAGCCTTAGTTTAGCATGGCCAGTGGTCAGGGAATCTGAAAATGATAGTCCAACAACATCTGGAGAGCCACAAGTTTCCATCTTCAATACAAAGAGTGAATATATTACTCCTTCAGATGTTCTAACTTCAATTCCCTAAAGCCCCAGTTGGCATGGTCAATAGAAAGGGGGTATAACTCCTGGAAGGCCAAATGTTTCCCATCTCTGATGTAAATGAATGAATAATGGGAGGGCAGACAGTGGAACTGCTGTTCTTATAATTATGGAAAATTCAATAAAAATTATTGCCATGTGGGTATTGTGGAAGTCATTCTTAATTATTCGTTCCAGTGTTCTGTGCAAAAAGAGACAACAGAGATTTCCCCCACTTCAATTTCCCTTCTCACTTTCATTATTGGCCTGTGTTTCAGAAAAGAGTTTTCAACCCCCTGCAAGTGAAGAGAGCTGGGTAACTGAAAACAGTGCCATTTACTGCAGAAAGACTGAAACAAATTTGTGCAGAGAACTATGTGGTAGATTGCTTAAAACAAATTTGTTGATTTTAATCATCTGTGTTTTGTTATATGATTACTCTGATCTGTTAGGATTTTAGGCATCTGTGCGGTATTCTGTTTATATGCCTATCCAGTTTTGTTATGGCTTATGGACAAAACAATTAAACTAAAATACATAAATAAGAGAACCAATCAAGTGCGGGCAATCCTAATTATCCAAACTTCAAAACACTGACTTCTAAATTCATAATCCCAGGTTCCTCTCTAATATGTTCCAATCAAGAGAGTCTTGGCCCTTTTGCATTTCTCGCTGAAATATAAGGTCACCAGTAAAATGTTCGTAACACTTGTTCAAATGTACATTTTAAGTGCTTTCTTGGACTACAGCCTAAACGCTTAGAAGGTGAGCAAGGTTCTTTCTGACCCCCACAACCCCCACAGTAAGTCTATGATTTTAAGAAAATGTTAATTCATCGAGAATGTTGTGTCACTGGCCATTCTGGCAGAGAAAGACACTCACTTAAAATACTGAGGAAACAAAGCCAGACAAAGGATTGTTAGCCTCATATAGTCTTTAACCAAGGCTTGAAAATCAAGAGGATGCTATGAGCTTATGGTGTTTTCTGCTCTACCTGCCAATGTGGAAATTCCCTCTTCCTTCTTGTCACAGAGATAATTATAGTGCAGAGTTGTTTTCACCCACGTCAACGCTAAGCATAGCTTCAAGACGGAATGTGCAACTGGAGGGTAAATTGGAGTTGCCAAACTCTGGCCTGTGAAGCTAATCAAGATTAGTATTACCATCAGTCCAGTCTCATCAATGGTGCCCCTGGTTAATTCTGAGCAGGGAAGGCTAAATAAATCTGCATGCGAGAGGGAAGGGTGAAGAACAAAAGAAGACACAAGCACGAGATCTGCTCCCAGTCTCTAGGCATGTTCTGTTCTTGTTTAAAATACTCACATCTCCTGGAAGTGTTAAAATAATTGGCACATCCTTATCAGGTTGAGTTTTTCATGGCAACTAGCATGGAGCTGTAACTACCAACATCTGTTTGACCTATAACACATCATTCAGCCTACAAGGGACTCTCTGCCACTAAAACTAAAAAGAACAAAATTTGTTAGCCCTAATTAGAGCAAACCCACTGACTCAACAGGAGCAATGACATAAGGAGTGTTGTTCACTCAATGGGTCAACTCTAGTTTGGACTAACACCTGGCTCTAACACAAAGTACTGTATTGCTTTTTTTCCCTTGGGCTGGCTCATGAGATACGAAAGGTCTCTTGCCAATTATATTATAAATCCAGCACATTATTGACTCATAAATCATTCCTTCCTACTATGGCAGAATTCAATAAACAGGCAATCCTACCCATTGTGCACAGAGTCCCCTTCTCTGACATCACGTGCGTCTAGCCCAGGACAGCTTTTGACAAAGGCTGAAATCATGTTTTGCAGCTACACAAATGGCACAACTTTAGAAGCAGGTTGCTGTAAATTAAGAAAATTTGGTAGGCTTTACCTGTTGCATACTGAGCCACACAACCTGGCATGCAACAGACAATGCCTACAGAGATTTCTTGACTTATGGCAATACACATCTACAACTTACACCAATTGCATAAATGCACAACAGGATTTGAGCCAGAATATCTTTACTTTTGGAAAAGGAAACACTGGACACTCATGGTAGGATACTTTTCTATTTACAGTGGTGCCTCGCTTGACGACAATAATCCGTTCCAGCAAAATCGCTGTACAATGAAATCGTCATCAAGAGAAAGTAAAAAACACATTAGAATGCATTAAAAACCGCTGTGTTCTAATGGGCGAAGTACCTCATCGTCCAGGTAAGATCCTCCATAGGGCGGCCATTTTCCGGTGCCTATTAAGCGAGAAATCCATCCTAAACACAGCAGGGAGCCATTTTGAAACACAACAATCAGCTGTTTTTAGATTGTCATAATGCGAAGAATCAGTTCCCGAAGCAGGGAACCGATCGTCATGAAGCGAAAATCGCCCTTTGAAACATTGTTTTGCAATTGCAAAAGCGATCGTAAAAACCCCATCATAAAGCGGATTCGTCTTGGAGCGGGGTAATCGTCAAGCGGGGCACCACTGTATTTCCATATTAACAACCTGACAAATAGCAAGTGAGAATACAAGTAGGCAGTGCAAGTTTCACAGGAACAGAAGGAGTAGCCCTCCTCCTAAAAACCAAAATCTGATTCCATGAACTGGCTCATCAAATCCACTGCCTATCAGTGCTTCTTTTTCTAAGAATTCTTAGCTTTTGGCCCCCCACATCCCGTAAATAGACAAAAACACATTACTACAATTAACAGTTTTATTAGAGAAAGACAAGTAGTGAGGAGTGGCTGCCACTCAGATTGATTGCAGCACCACAGTATTGGTGCAGCCGATACAGACTGAACGAGAAGCATTAGACTCACCACATATATCAAGAACTGCCAGCTGACTAAATCGTTCTGTATCTTTCGCGCCGTGAGTTCCTGGGTAACAAGCGGAGCAAATGTCACCAACAAAAATGTTCCTGCGATTGTCATGGTTCCACCTTCATAAGAAATGCATTTCAGATACATGTTACTATTACTACCACCACCACGTTTATCAGAAATAGCCAAAGAACAAAGCTTCTTAGCAGCAAAATATTGATAGGTATAAACATAAAGCAGATGGTGCATAAAATTACTCAGGGAAGGAATATAAATCTTAGAAAGATGTTGTGGCACCCTGGTTTCCATTTTTGTCTTAAGCCAAAGGGTGGGCAAGGCAGACCCTGTTTGTGGCCGCTAGGGGTGAAAATCCAGCCCATTATCCTTGGTCCCCCTCAGCACTGACCTCTAATTTAAAAAAAAAATAGAGGGTTTTGCTCAGAAAGTCCCAGTGTAACCTGGCAGAGACAGGTTTGTCATGTTTTGGGACCTACAGCATGCTTGCTCCCCCAACTGTAATTTATAATACAGTGGTGCCTCTCTTAGCGATTGCCTCGTTTAACAATGTAGTCGCTTAGCGATGAGGTTTTTGGAGCGATCTTGCGCTCCGTTTAGCGATGTTCCCTATGGGGAAATTTCACATAGCAATGTTCGGGACCTTGCTTCGCTTAGTGATGACAGTTTAGGTCCCCCTGTTTTGCTTAGCAATGTCCGTTTTCACTATTTTCAGTGTGTCTTCAAATGTTCAAAAACTGTTTAAAATGCTTGGAATCGTTAGTGTACCTTGTAAAACCTTTGCAAACTTTATTTGGCTTTGTTCTCAGTCTTCGTTAACTTTTGGTGAATTTCTTTCCCCCATTGGTGTGCATTGAACTGTAGGTTTGACAGCTGTCAAACCTACAGTTTTTGAACATTTTAAGACACTTTAAAAATAGCGAAAACGGACCTGTCAAAACCATTGAAATGCACTGAAACCTATTCAATGCATTCCAATGGGGGAACCGTGTTTCGCTTAGCAATGTTTCCTATGGCGATTTTCGCTTAAGGACGGTAATCCGTTCCCATTGGAATGGTTACTGTATACGGTTTTCAATGCATTCCTATGGGAAATGGTGTTTCGTTTAGTGATGTTTTCCCATAGCAATGTTTTTTTGGGAACCAATTAACATCGTTAAGCGAGGCACCACTGTATTTTAAATCTGGAGCGCTAGCGGGGCTCTTTCAAAATGTGAGTGTGCAGAGACATGCTTTTTTGCATAAGCGTAACTTCAATTCTTTGATAGGCCAATTTAAAATTGGCAATAAAAATGGCTCATGTTGTTGTTTTTCAAGGTTCTTCACTCTTACAATCAATGTGGAATGTGAGTTTCAGTGGTACAAAAGCCTGCACAGAACACTAATAGGACACTCAGCTTGAAGAAATTTTAAAAAACTTGCAGAGTTGTATATTTATGTGCTTGTATAAACCTCCCAACAATCACCCTATCTGCCATTATATAGCTAACTCCAATGGAATGCAGCGGCACTATTTAAAAAAAAAAACACTCTCCATGGCAAGAACAAACTCGCAGAAATGAAATAAATCAGCACAGAACTAAAGCTAAAACAATGTGTTACGTACAAGTCTGAAGGGGAACATGATCAGCTCAGGGAGGAATTCTTCATGAATCACTTGGCTTAAAAAAATAGCCACCCTAAATATTATAGGATAAGTGGAGCAGGGCTGAACCTCAAACATCCTCAACACCTGTGCGATTACAACCATTACACTAGAGGCTGCACCATCTGCTTGCTTACTTACTTGTACAGGGAACCTAAAATCAATCTTTCTTTCTTTTGAACAAATGAGGGATACTTCAAACAAGACAAGGTCCCACACACATGTATAAGCTACGTACCACACGAACAGCATATACAACTATTCTGCTACATTTAGAGGAGGAAGAACTGTTCAACAGGGGTTTCTGGAAAGCAATTCACGTGTCATAATAAGCCATTCATGGTTTGCTTATTGTGACCTCTAAAACTAGCACTTTCCCCCGTGTGTGTGTGTGTGTGTGTGTGTGCACGTGTGTGTGCGCGCACACATGCACACAGGCTGACCTGTCTGTGTAACTAGCTTCCTGATTTTGATGCTAGAACTCTGTTACATGCAGAGTAAGGAGCAAAACAAGGACATTTGCCAAGGATACCTCTCAGTCTTCTAGCTGAGTATTAGTCTCTGCTCAATGAGCAGTATGCACCCACCGCTGTGAGAACGAGCATTTTGAAAATATTTGAGAATACACAATAATCTTAAATATGTCAACAACGTTTCTGCATATGAGTAATTAGGCAATAGAGTCTCAAACACCAAAAATAGCAACAAGCTCACAAGCAACCAAACTATTTGTTACAATTAGTTGTTAAAACAACTGCAGAGCAAGGCAATGTTGACATGCAAAAATATTTCCGAGGCAAACAAATAGTTCAGTGTCTTGTATAATTAAAAACATGTTTTCCAGAAAAATATTACCGAAATGCTTTTGGAAATGACCAAATTTGTAGGGGGGAGGGGAAGAAGTTTGCTTTATTTTAAAAGAGCTTGTGCACAAATATCAACATCTAAAGAACTCTGGAACACATGAAAAAGCAGTCAGGTTGCATCTTGTGTTCGATCACAATTATATTGTCATATAATATTAAAATATGCAGTATGTTAATAGTTTATTTCCAAATTTGGGAACAAAAAAATGAACATAAATAAAAGTGTCCATAAAGTTCCAAAATACAAAGAAAGTTGTGTGTTTGGGTTTTGTTTTTTTGTGGGTTTTTTGCAGCTTTGAGGGAAAGCTGCCTCCCCCTCCCCTTCACCACCAAGGAGACAGAAATGTGCATCTAACTGAACATTTGTTAAAAAAATGCCTTCTCTAGAAAATAAAGGACAGAAAGCCCTGTGAACTTTCTTGAAATCCAAGCTTGAAGCATCTTTTAGGGAGCAGAATTGGAGGGTTCTACATGTGGCTAAAAGAACATTCTGACCTACTAAAAAATAAACACACTCCTTGACAAAAGCTGAAGGACACAGCTTCTCTCCTATAGCCACTTACGCTTACCTTAAAATTAGGCTGAAGTTTAGCAAAGAAGAGGAGTATGAAAAGCACATAATTCTCATCATAAAAATAGTATACCAATCATTTACTTACCTAATACGACTTCAGATCTAATGTTTTCTTTCAAGAACATGAAAGATATAACAGCACTACCTGAAGAACAAATATTTATTTTTTATGATCACATAGTAAGATATCAAGGAACATAAAAGTCAGCTTAGAACCAATACAAAAATATCCAAACGTCTTGTTCTAGGTAGGATAGCTGAGGTTGAAACGGTAAATTTCACATAACTCAAATGTTTATTTCCCTGAGGTAATTAATGAAAGAGTTAAAACTGTAAGAACCCCCCAGGAGCCACTTTGGGTCCTTTCAATGAGAAAGGCAGGGTATAAACAAACAAACCCTCTTATGAATCCTTTCAGGAACTCAATAAATATGGGAAAGAGTAATAAAAACCATGTGTTTACTGGCAGAGTCACACCTAGGGTGGCGTAACCTGAGCCTTGGCACAGGGCTCCAAAGTTTAGAGGACACAAAATTTTCTACCTGGAAGGGAGCCTCATGGCGCAGTGGTTAAACCGCTGTACCGCAGCCAAAACTGTGCTCACGTCCTGGGGTTCAATCCCAGGTAGCGGCTCAAGGTTGACTCAGCCTTCTATCCTTCCGAGGTTGGTAAAATGAGTACCCAGCTCGCTGGGGGGGCAATGTGTAGCCTGCATAATTAACTTGTAAACCACCCAGAGAGTTCTTAAAGCGTTATGGGGCGGTATATAAGCAGCACACTTTGCTTTTGCTTTGCATGAATGTGTCTGCCATGAGCACATATATCACACCTGGCTACTCCTCGCCATCAGAAATACAAAACAGGTAGGCTCAGTGGGAAACAAATATGGCTGGTGTACACTCAGACCTAGACATTCCAACCCATTCTTCTTTCTTCTTTCTGCATATGCAAATCTCCTGTGACTGAACTGTAATCAACAGGGCAATGACACACAAAGCGTTCAAATGTTAGCTACTGTTTTGTTCACTGGTCATTGTTTCTGTTCACTGGCCACATGTTTAGAACTCAAGAGAAGGGGGTTATTATGTGTCTTGAATGGACAGATTTCCTCTTGTGCAACCAGGAATCCACACTATGTTTCCTGACTGAGCAAAGAGGCACTACATGAATGTGGACTCTTTCTAACAACTGCCGCATGTAGTTAGCAGGCATGTTGACACATGGAGACGGGGCATATTTTTCTAATAAAATAATTCATTTATTTACTTCTCTGTAACTGGAAGAATGACTGACATGAACAGCGCTCTACCACTTCTGATTGTGAAATGAACAGTACTCCTATTAGAGATTTGGCTCACCATATGCTCGTCCAGATAGACAGTGAGTGCGCTGTGTGGCCTAGTAAACATACACAAGTGAAGTCTGATCGCACCACAAACCTCAGAACCAATTTTGACCACAAGAAAAGAACTACCAAAGTAGACAGGCACAAAAGATACCCATGATTAATCATCCAGCATACTCAGTCCAGTAGTGCTTTCCTGTTACAATCTGGTGTAGGTATCAAACTCCTAGCTTATTTTCACTTCTACCCTTTGCAACAACTGTGTAAGCTAAGTCATGGCTGACACAACGGGCACAATCTAAATCTAAGACAATGCTATTGCAAAGTGAACCATAGCTATAATCCAATCACAAAACACAAAGCAACACTTGTTGCTTTAGACTGAGCAACATCTGATCGCCTGGAGGGTGTGTGTCACTTTTTGAACATCATTCTCCTGTCAAAGTGTGAAATTTTGTGTGTATAGTGTTTTACAATAATTAAGGGGAGGGGTATAAAAGAAGTAGCCTTGGAAATGAAAGTGTTTGTAATGTTGTTTGAGCAAAAGGTTACTAAAGTCACTGCAAAACAATTAGCCGGCTCCCCAGCCAAACAAGGTCACTGTATCATCATAATCCTGGCAACTGAATAACGCATAAACAAAGATTGCAGTACTTATAATAGACACTCTTGGTACTGTAGTTTCAAGATCTTGGAGCTACAATATGCTGTTGTTACAGTATCCTGGTTTTTAGGGCTTCTGGTGGGGCAGATCTTTTATGCAATGGGCCTTTATTCCTCTGAGCTCTGCAGAAATTTTAGTCATAATGGTCACAGTAACAGCCTGCCAGATATTAAGCTACAAACACGAGTTACAGTAGATGCAGGAACAATATGATTTCCTATGGCGTTCCAGGCCACTAGATCTCCTGCCCCCTGGAAAACACACTATTTACAGATTGGGTGAAATGGTGTGAAAAAAATGATAAATGTAAGTAAGATACAAATAAACACACACACATTCAACTCATCAATGTAGCAAGCCTTCATGCTATGCCACACACAGCGGATGCCAACAACATAGACTGAAATTGGTCTGGCTGGGTGAGCACTTGGAGTAATTTTGTGTGTTTGTCTTTAATATGTTCAAAGGCTAAATATTACTTTAAGTTACAATGCTTTTACCTTTTAATGATGTGTTTTAGAGATGTATTCTGTCTTCTTTTTTTATATATGCTTTATTAGTCTGCAAGTTCCTGAATTTTTAGAATGTAACTGAAACACTTTCATTGTTCTTTTTTACTCTTAAAGGATATTTAGACTGTATTTTAGATTGAATTCTGATTTAAGTGTTTGCCCACAAATTAAGCTTAGTTTTCATATATTTTAAGTATTTGTGCCCACAGTTTTCCAAAGCTGTAAGACTTTAGAATTTTCCAACAACTCTGAAGTATTTTTGTGCTTATGGAACACAGAAACAATGTAGAGAAATAAAGCTTGTAGAGTTAGACATGCCGTTGTTGCCTGGAATTACTGCAACAATAAGAAAACTTGTACCTTGACAGATGAATTTTTACATGATTGGAAGTGATTGTCTAGTTTCATTCTTGAGTTAACCCTTCATTTGGATAAATGGCAGGTGTGACGAACACAGGCTTCTGATTTTTCCGAAGAGGTCCATAAAGTTCTGTAAGGCTCTTAGGGATACGTTAGGGCATCAGAATTCCTGATCAGACACCTCAGGTCAAATACCTGCTCCTATTGAAACTGGAAGTGGCTGAAAATCAATGTCTGGTTTCATTAGAGCATTATTTTTCCCTTCTTTCCATAAAACAGGGCATAAAAGTGTCTTGCAGCTTAGTTTAAAGAATTACTGTGCTTCCTAGAGATTGGGTTTTTTGTATTTTAACCCAAACTGCTTAGATTTTATAAGCCTTCAGGTCCACAAATGTGGATGAAGGCACACATGGCCTATAGATCACATATTACCTATTTTAGATTCTGGCTTCTTAGAGTGCCCTAAATAGAATTCATTTGGCCTTTCCCATGCTCTGCCTCAATTCATCCTTCAATACTGACATTACAGCTGATGCTAGAGGGGTCCAACAATGCCACCCACTTACTCAATAGCTTTGATTGATACCATTTCCACTAAAGATTCTGTTTCATCCCTACCTCACGCCCTGTCATACAGATACATAGGCATACGGGTCCCAGCTGTTTAGCTACTGTAATCTGACTCTTTTATAAATCCTAAGGGCTGAAATCACACACTGATGTTTGTTAGAGATCTTTTGATGCACATACTGCAACGAAAAGGTAAATGACTCACCACGTGGAGGCCTTTTTCTTTCTTTCTTTCTTTTTTCTAATACTGCTGTGGCAATATGTCTCCTGTCACTGAGGCATGTCTGGTTTAAATAGGCAGTAGTGGAGACTAATCAACTTCAGGCTACAGGTAGGTGAAGCCGTAAAAATGTCTCCTGGCAAGTGAACAGCACATGAGGAGAAAGGAATACGAGACCTCCCTCTTCTGTGGTCTGGTCTGCACTTGCACCAAAGTATTTGATGTAAAGAAGTGGTTTAAAAGGTGTGCTCCACTGGATGCCCCCAATGGAACAGACCATTCTACTACCCCAGAACTCTGCTATCTAATTCCTCATCTACTATCCCCACACCTAAGTTATAGCCTTTTGTGGCTGTACAGCAGTGTTTCCCAATCTTTTCTCAGTTGTGACTCCCTTTTACAATAGTGAAGTAACTTGGGACTCCCACCACATCTGCATAAAAAGAAGGTACTCACACTGTTGAATGCAGGGCAGAGTCTGCTCCCATACTTTGGAACTCCCTCCCACAGGAGGCCAGATTGGCCCCATCTTTGCTGTCCTTGTGCAAGCAAGCAAATACCTTTCTCCTCAGGCAGGCTTTCCCTGAGTGACTGGCTACCAAGTGGGGTTTTCAAATGGACGGTTGTATCTTACTGCATTGAATGTGTTTTGGTGTCACTTGTGTTTTTTGTATGGTATTTGATCCTTTTTAGTATTTGTATACTCATTGTCGTTAGGTTTAATATTACCTTTTAATGATATAAGCCGCCTTAGGTCCTTTTAAGGAGAAAGGCAGGGTAAAACTGTTTTAAACAAATAATAAATAAGGCAAAATTCCCCTGGTGGATGCTGGCTGGCACTGCAGTGCTCCCTTCGCCAATGTCAACACTGGTCAGCAGTCAAGGGAGTGTATTAAAATTTTTCACACTCCATGAAAAAGAAGTGGGAAAGGGGAACCCCCATCCCTCAGTCCCCTGGCTGTGAATAAATGGCACTGAACTCAGAGTCAATGAAAAATAACCACAACAATCCCCCAGAAAACACTCTGCAACTCCCTTGGGGGTTGCAACCACCAGGTTAGGAACCAGTGCTCTAGAATTTAGGACTTCAGTCTCAAATTTTTAAAAGAGTGTCCACAAATTATAACAAGGACTTTGAAACTATTAATACAATTTTTACCAAAAAAATTCTTAAATATTTCCATTCTTCCAATGACTTGTACAAAAAAATAAATGGGGAACATGGTATGTACAACCGAAAACAAACCACCAAAAAATTCCCACAGACGGTTCTGTGAGTTACAAAAAGTTTGTTAAAATCAGTGTCCTGTTTCGAAGGCTGCTTGGGGATCAAAAAGAGATAAACAACAGCCTGCTTGCTTACTTCATCAGCAGGAAATCTCCTTGTGGAGGAAATGTAAGTTTTCGCTTCCTATAAATGGTTTACATATAATTACTGTAAAGTGCTACAGACGGCTACATAAAGTATACTGATAAAAAGAATAAAAAAGGAACTTTGGGGGATGCACTTAGGAAACATACCTACTTAAAACTATCATTTCATCTGACGCACTCAGATGATGGCATTCATGAACAAAATGTACTGGTTTCCAAGCAACATAAAACTACAGTTGGATGAGTGAAAAGCAGTGGGGAAAAATAAAAATCACTGTTCATTTTGATCCCTTATTCTTCTTGTGATCATCAACCTGTCTATGAGATATAGGACATGACGGGGTAGAATCCTACAGAAGAATAACCTCCAGGTAGATAACTAAATATTAGGCAGAAGGGACGATAGCTTCCACATCTTTGAAATGCTACTAATCTGTGTGGAAGGATTTCTGTGATTCTGTGGAGGAGCATTTATTTTCTCATTGTATTCGAAATGGTATAGCCCAACTAAAGGTTTATGGTGTCAGTGAAAAGGTGGTATTCAAGTTACTGCATAGCTGCAAAAACAAGGGCAAATTCCAGCTCCCATCATGATGTCACCTTCCTGGGCTGGCTCTGCATTCTGACCCCTCTCATGTTGAGCACAGATGTCTAAGTAGAAAGTTCCACTCTTGAGCATCTGCTCACACAATGGAACTACAACCCAAACACTCAATACCACAGGGATTTTGGTTTTGAACTAAAAGTCCCAGAATCCTCCAACCAACACAGCCTCTGGATGCACTTGGTGGGGTATTCCAGGGGTTCTAAAGCAAAAAAGTAAAATCTCTCATCTCCTGCAATTACCTAAGTCTAGGAAATAAAGCAATTCTTCCTTCTGTACACTCCCAGGACAAAATGCCTTCTCCAAGAGAACCCCGGTAGGGGGAATGTAACTGAAATATATGCACAAGGCCTATTTGATCACAGCAGCACAATGGCCAGTGAGGAAAAAGTTCAGCTTTTTCCTCTTGGCTACCATATATTGTAACAAGACCTACGACAACCTATTCTCAACCAGATAGAGATTCATCATTGCCTGACAAGCCACACAATGCAGGATAGAGATGTCACCAGTCCTGATCTACTTCAAAAACAAGGAACCACAATATCCTGCCAGAGGAAGAATTATCAAAACAAGAAACTGCAATTCTCTAACAAGGCTAATTAACCTGTTCTCCTCATCTGATTTCCCTAGGTTTTAATGCCGGGAGTCAGCCTCTAGAACAGCAGGGAAATACTGCAGTAGTTGTGCAAGACAGAAGAATCGGCAGAACTCTGTACTTCGATTATCTTCAGCTCTGAACATGCAGCTCAACATTAAACTTAACAAGAAATGTTAAATTCCTCCTTTCCCTTAGAATAATACCTGTTCTAGCAAATTGCCTCTCCAGAGGCCTCGCTTACATTTCTCTTCGTTTTTCCCTATCTCCTCCAGTGTGTGTGCAATTCTCTCAAAGACAGAATTGTGGGCTGCTTTTTTTCCCTGAACAATGTTAGAAGGCAAGGGTGTCTCACCTATGACAGCCACACTTCCTAGTGGCGCAATAACTACAACTGAAGCAAATCCATAGGCTGCAAAATTTGCCATTTCTCCAATGCCCGTCAGTATAATTCCAGACCACCACAGCTTGCTTCTGTAACAAGGCTTTTGATTGGCTTGGTGCATCAGACGAAGATGAGAGCATTTCTGCAATCAAGCATTAAGAATGCAAAAAGGAAAAACATGAGTTAATGTCCACGTAAGAGACAATCCCCTAAGTATTAACATAGTATTACAGGGACTTTGTGCTTTGTAGGTAAAAGAATGCTTCCATTATATAATGCTACAGAAATTATATAAATCTTCAACTCCTGTGTAAACACGTCTGAACAAAATGTCAACATGAGCTGAAGTTAGCATGCCATGTAGGTGGTTTTGAATGATTCTGATATTTGGGACTTTTTTTTCCAAAGTAAAGGTTTTTTTTTAAAAAAAAGTGAATTCCTTGAGCAGCCCCATGTAAATGCCAATACAAATTCCCAGGTCATTTATGAAACTAAAAAGAAAGGAAAGCCCAACTAAAAAGAAAGGAAAGCCCAGCCATGTGCCAATTTAGTCCGGCAAGACTTTAGCATATCTGTGTTAGAACTGCTGATAATGTACTGAAAGTGGGAAATAAATATGCAAAAAGTGTTTTAAAAAACTCTTCTCTGAAGGTATTAAATTATGTCTCCCCATCAACAAAAGACTGTGATCTAGCATGAGACAGTCGAAGTGTGGACCTCCAGATGTTGTTGGGCTAGAGTTCCCATCAGTCCCTAGTTAGTGATGAAGAATGTTGGGAACTGCAGTCAAACAACATATGAAAGGCCCTATTTGGCAATCCTGTCTTGTGTACTGGTTTTATTTTACTGCATTTATGAGGAATGAAAAGTTATATTCCTCTATATGTTTCTATAATGTTAGCAGATGCCACACTTTTATACAAACTTACACAGGAGTAAGACTACTGAACTTAAAGGTCATTGCTTCTGAAAAGATCATGGACAATATTGTTTTTTTAAAAGATGGTTGTGCCTTACTGCTTTGAATGCATTTTTGTTTGGTTTTGTTTACTGTCTTGTAGTGCACTATCTGTTTGATCCTTTTTTATTTGTATACTGACTGTTTTTAGCTTTAAATATTGTCTTTTAATGATGTAAGCTACCTTGGGTTCTTCTTAAGCAGAAAGGCGGGATAAAAATATGGTACATAAATACACATTTTTGAATACAGTAATACAATTTAAATTCAGTTGTATATGTATTCCTAGTTCACTGTCTCTATTGTGAACTTCCGTGTGTATATTGTGATTATATTATTCTATTTCTTAATTCTGGTACTTTTTATTTCAGTCCAAAAAAGAAAGAAAGAAAGAAAGAAAGAAAGAAAGAAAGAAAGAAAGAAAGAAAGAAAGAAGTAATGGGCGTGGGGGGGATGGTGTATTTGCAGCCCAGTGTCCATGAGTCCAACTTTACTATGAAAACACTGATCACTTCCCAAGTCTTAAAAACAAGATCTGGCTAGCAGGCAACAGCAAGGACCAAAGGGGCCCACAGTAATTCTATAGCCACCCTCATATTTATATACCAAATTGAAGAAGGCTTATACTTTAGCAGTAAAGCTCAAAGTAGACCTACGAGTTTAGCATCCTGTGACACTATTACATCAGGAGCTGACCTTCAGCCACTGGCCATTTACATTTTTATATGGATATAGGCTAGACTATATGGGGCAAAAAGTGTCCCAACAAGTCTATTTCTTTTTGCTACTGACATTTTTGCTGGAGCCAATGCACTGTATCGGGATAAAAAGAGGCTACATGAGGACAAGCAGAAATGATGTCTCTTGGTTTTCAGTAGGCTGACTCCATTCAAGGTACTACATTTGTGGGTTCAGGAAATGCAAGATAATGCCTAATCCAAATTTCAGTACAGTCCTCTCCCTCCTGCTAACCTCCCACATACCCTGTTTCCCCCAAAATAAGACCTAACCTGCAAATAAGCCCTAGTATGATTTTTCAGGATGCTCGTAATATAAGCCCTACCCCAAAAATAAGCCCTTAAGTGAAACCCTGCCCTCCACCATCGTGCAGCAACCAGAAGATGACATGACTGTGCAGCGGTGCCTCGCTTAACGAGCGCACCATATAACGATGAAATCGCATAGCGATCTCTTTTTTGAGATCGCAAATGCGATTGCTTACCGATGGCCTCTATGGCCAAAACTCGCATCGCGAAGATCGGTAAGCGTTTAGCTTACCGATCTTCGCATTGCGACACAGGGAAATCAGCTGTTCGGCAGCTCCAAAACGGCCGCCGGACGACCCAAAATGGCCACCTCAACCATTTTCGCGCCCTGCCCTTGCTTACCGAGGGTGCGAAAATGGCGGCGCTATGAGGAAACTTCACTTAACCGTGAGTATAGAAGCCATTGGAACGCATTAAACTAAGTTTAATGCGTTCCAATGGCATTTTGCATCCCGTTTAGCGATGTTTCCTCATAGCGAGGGTTAATCCGGAACGCTTTAACCTCGCTATGCGGGGCACCACTGTATTTGAATATAGATTGCTGTATATGAAAAAAATAAAACATTCCCTGAAAATAAGCCCTAATGCATTTTTGGAGCAAAATTTAATATAAGACCCTGTCTTATTTTCAGGGAAACAAAGTATCCGTTCATATTCTCATGAGGTCAGAAAATACTCCAGAACTCAGTATGATGGAAATAATTATGATGATTGAATCTGGTGGCTGGGAGCTAATGTAAAATCTCAAAGCAAATTGTAAGGTAACCAGTGGTTCATTGTTGGGTTATGTAAATACACTAATAACATAAAATAGCATGGCTTGAATTGTGTGCATAGATCGGCAGTTCAAGTTGGACCACAACTCCATAATATGCAAGGGAGATTTTTTTCATACCTGAATATTCAAAGAGATGCTAATGACAATATTTCCTATGATCGCCAACAAGATGCCTATGAGTAGATTCTGCAAGAAGAAAATACCCAGGTAAAGTGAGAGAACATACAAAACAGAAGGCAACATACTTTTCATTCATTTATAGAGCTTATTTTAAAAGAAAGTCTATATTTCAGGTTAACTACTAATTTTCTATTACTCTACACATACACATAGCCAAGCTATATCTGTTATCCATATATTTGAACCTTTCTTCTACATCAGAGACTAAGTGTCAAACCAGAATACATATTCCTGCATCAACAGGGTGTTGGATGAGACAACTTTATAAGATCTTCTCCAGTGCTCTCCAGATTACATAGGATCGTAACTGAAACATTCATGTAATGAAGCCCTCCTACGTGGAAGATACATGAGCCAGCTTATATTCCATAGGGCTTGTGGCCCAGAGGATGTGTGCACCCATCCAGGAGATTCTTGTGACACCCGTATCCCTACATATTCCCTAAAAATGACTAAAAAACCTCTCTGTGTCCACCAGGAGCTGCTACACACACCCAATTTTTTAAAAAATGGCCACCAGAGGGCACAAGGGCGTTTCTGATTTTTTTAAAAACATTTTTAGTTACACCCATTTTCGAATTAAGAAAAAAACCATATTGCAATCAAATATTAGACTATTTGAAATACCCCAAGTCAATTATTTCTATAGCTATATTGATTACAAACTTAGTTGTCAATACTCCTTTCACAATCCACAGACTTTGTGTACAGTTTGTGCAACAATGGTTGCAAATAAAAAAGCTTTACAGCGATGCTGCAAATATTTAAAAATGGAAACGCTTCATCAGGTGTGGTTTTGTGGTTTAGTCCACTGCAATATTTCTGCCAATAAAAAGGGTGAGGCACATGGAAAACTTATGCAAATAACAGCAGCACCAAGTACATTTATAATAGGATTCAGCAAAATAAATACTGTAATTAATCTTTCATAAAAATATTAACAAGTAATTTGATAATTAGAAGAGGAGGAAGTTGCTTCTTATTTTAGTTAATGAAGAGCAGAAATATCACAGTATAATTTAATGAATTGCTGCTATTTCCTTCCTTCTCCCTCAATACAACAGTTGCTAAAGGCGCATTTAACAACCTCAACCCAGGTCATTAAAACTCCAATGGATCAAAGATGGTAATGACACATGTGATTAAAATGGAACATTAAAATGTGATAAAACTGAGAAGACTTTTAAAAATCCATTACAATAAAATTAAAATACTACAGATGTGATCCAGGCAAAGTCAAGGATGTTTACATCCCACAGAGTTATAAGCATATGGTTAAATCACCATTCTATAAGAACAACAATGCTGCATCTCAGTAAAGGGTTAACCAGTCTAGCATTTAGTCCCAGGGGCCAACCAGAGACAACAGAAAGTCCACAAACAGAACATGAGCTCAATGACATTCTCCTATTCAGGGGCCCACTGTCTCCAACACTATAGGCAATAATATAGTCATCATGATCAGCGACCATTGATAGCCTTAACATAATCCCTTTTTAAAGCCACTTAAAGTGGTGCCTATCATTACATCTTGGAAGAAAATTCCACAGCTTAATTGTGTGCTGTATAATTAAGTTCTTCTTATCTGTCTTCAATATTGCACCAAATCAACCGCCTTCAGTGACCTGGGGGGTATTATTGTGAGGGAAGAAGGGGAAACTTCTTCATACCCATTTTTTATACACCATGCATTCATTTTAAATACTTCCATCATGTCTTCTTTACTAGCCTTCCTCCTCATGGCCCCCAAACTTATAAACTTCCTGCATTGTGAGGTTGTGCCAGTCCTCTTCCGTAGTTTTTCCACCTTTCCAACAGCTTTTCTAAGGTGTAGCCATTCAAATCAGCGTAATGGTGACCTCAGCATGCCTACATTAGGGTAAACTGTACCTTAATATTGAAACTCATAGGCTGAGGAATTCTACAGTCTGGGAACAGCTACCAAGAAAGACTTTATAAAGGGTAGTATAAATCACTGGTTCTTAACCTTGGGTTACTCAGGAGTTTTGGACTGCAACTCCCAGAAGCCTTCACCACCAACTGTGCTGGCTTGGGTTTCTGGGAGTTGCAGTGCAAAAACATCCGAGTAACAAAGGATAAGAACCACTGGTATAAATCATCCTATGAAGTTCCCTTTTCTCTCTCCCTTCAACAAGGTGATGCAGTAGTGGTCCATTAGAGATGTGCTCTTCTGCATGTGCTCCAACCACAAGGTGTGGTCTAAGTAACTTTTACCTAGGGGAAAGGGTCAAAAACCAGGCTTACTGGAATTGTGGTGGTGAGAAAAGTAGGTGCCCACATCTTCAGTCTAGGAACTCAGCGCTAATCTCACACCTCCACTCTGTGAATTCCACTGTGCTTTTTAGAACCAAGTTTCGCAGACTGCTAGGCAGCAATGACATAATTCAGAAACGCATGAGAAGGTGAAAATTATGAGACAGAAAGACATTTGTTTGAGGTTATTTAACCATGTTAAACGTTTTAAAAGATGGATATGAGGTGTCATTCTTCCACGCCTTCCTCCATCTGTTTCTCACCTACTGTGAAATGCTTACGTTTTTAATAGATTCGACTGCATTGTTTCTGTTTAAAATGTTAACTGTTGTCAGCCACCTTGACTGCCATTTTTGGAAGCAAAGCAATAGATATAAATATATGCTCTTTCACACAGTTGCAATATTCACACCATGATGCCACATAACATTTGCCACAGTTAGCTGTATTTACTCATCCTCATTATTCACATCTCTCTGAAAGCAGCTTTGTGTCTTTCTTGCTGTTATGTGCTATAAAGTTGTATCTGACATGGCAACTCTATGAATGAATGACCTCCAGAATATCCTGTCCTTAGCAGCTCTGCTCAGCTCTTGCAAACTCAAGACATGATTCCTTTTTTGACTAAATCCATCTCATACTAAGCCTTCCTCTCTTCCTGTTTCCTTGTGTCTACTGCAGCAATTTAATTTACATCCATCCTGTTGGGCTTGCATACAAAACAGGATTTTAGAGTTATTCTCCCTGCTATACATTTCTCACAACAGCCTTACAAGAGGATATCCAAGAGACAGATGTTTATAATGCACATACACTTTTCAGAGAGGAAAAATGCTTCTGAAGAAATGAGTTGCAGCCCACAAAAGCACGTGCCAAATAAAACGTGTGAGTCTTAAAAGGACCACAGCCCTCTTTGTTGATTTTTTTCAATCTGTAAAGAAAATTCTACTGATATGCAAAAGTACAGAACCAGTGTGGACAGAGTGATGGGGCAGGGCTCCGGAGACCTGAGTTCAAATTTCTGCTCAGTTATGTAACTCAGGGGAATGATGGCTCTAGTAAAAACACTCCGTAAATATTTCACTTACCTTAAAAACCCTAGTAGGTCATTATACCTGGGATGCGAGTAGAAAGCATGTATCTATATCGATGCAAACTAGTTATAAGTTTATGATGAACGCAAAACAAGAACAAAAACCCAACTCGGAATAAAAAAATCATAAACAAAAACAAACTTTTACTGAAACAGCCAACAGGAAACCTCACAAGTTTTCAAAAACTACGGGTAGTTTCCCACGTCATACTGGCAAGCGGAGGTGAATTTAACCGGAGGAATGAGTACTGAGAACAGGGCTGCAACACCGGTTAAGATTACTCTCCAGGTAACGCCTGCGCATCTTAAAAAGAGGGAACAGTTACTTCGTACTTCTTTCTAAGTTAGTAATTGGGGGGTGCGTCTGCGGTGTGCTTACCTGATTTGCGAAGTACCACCCGCGGGAAAGGAAACTACGGCTAAAATCGTTCCCCGCCAAAGTGGCGTTTGGGACCAAGCGGAGCTTCCCCATCGCCAAGACCCCCCCCCCCCAGCCCCTCTCAGG